AATTGTGTACCATATATTGAGAACTTAATACATGTTATATTATTAATATGCTTTGAAATTGATCTATGCATCATCAATATCATTGAACTAAGTTAAATTGTCTTTCTCCCCTTTTTTGGATCAATAATGAATGGGAAACAATCACACGGTGATAGCGACACCGGTGGTGCATCGGCTAGTTGTCGCCGTGACATTGCCGGCACCGGTTGCCGACACCGGGTGGTTTTGTCGATAATGGTGGCGATGGTGATTGTCACGCCCCGCTTCCCAAAATACCTGGGAACCGGAACGTGAACAAGCCCGCGACGTATTAGATTGAGAAGAAATATACACTCTCTTTTTTTTTCTTCTCAATCCAATACGCTAAGCGTCTGGAAATAAGTACAATGCGAAGTCACAGGTCCCCGATCACACATAGCAAGAATATAAAGACAACCCAGAATAAAAATAGACATATCATAAATGAATATCATCCAAGACATAATATTTGGGTCAAACATGCCCTTATACATATCTGAACAAGTGAATACTGATGAGGTGCAAAGATACATCGAACCACAGAAATAGAAAGAACTACAAAAGTAAACAAGGACCAGCATATAATAAAAGAGACGACTAGACTTCGGCTTCTTCTTCTGCTCTATCTGCAAGGCACTCCTGCTGAGAATCCTCTGGCAACATGTTCTTCTTCTAAGTCTGACGTACACCAGAGAAAACAGGTGTACGTCAGGTGCATGGTGTACGGCAAGACCCGACCCCACAAAGAAAATAGAACGAGCGGAAATCCAATGCAAAAACGATACGATAACAGAAACAACAAAAGAACGTACAACTAAAATCCGCAAATCAACATGAAAACACTACTAAATCATAATAACATAAAGCATCCAGAATCGATCAGGTAACGAGATCATGTAGCTAGCGATCAGTCTAATCATCCAAATAACAGGAGCATACAATAGATGGAATTAATACCTAAAAAACTACAACTCGAGACGTAGTACGTCGAGCGAAATAATCCAAACAAGGAAACCCTCATGTATATACCATATGTCTCAAATTGTAGATAATTAAATATTAATCCCGATCTATGTATGAAAAGAACAACACTGATCTACATCTCAACAAAACTAACAAGGTCCACCAGAAGCACGCAAGCATATTATTCTTGTTTTACATGTTATTTGAATTGGGGAATAATATTTTGATGTATATAATCGGGTCCCCGTAAACCTGCCCGGGGGCCGCCTTCAAGTCAAGTACTGGCCCTCTGGCCCATATATAACACTCACGATATCACGATAACAGGAAAGCGCTGTGCCCGTTTATATACATGCTATATTCTCCGTCCAATTCCCCTTTATAACCCCATGTTGTCATATTAATTACGCAACTGTACATGAAATATTATGCACTAGCCACAGAGTTACCGTGGAACGACTTCTGTAAAACTATAAACATAACCGTGACCCACAACACGTCCGATCAAGAGCGCATCGTCTAGTCAATGCTATAATAGTAATAATCAAGGAAACCTCATACCGGGATATCGATATCGAGGGAACTCGGGACTCCTCACATCGGGATATCGATGTCGAGCGAGTATAGCCATGTTTTGAAACACGCTTATAAATCATACTTTTAACAGGAGTCGTCTTCATGTACAGTCTCTCCTATTGGATAACAACTATGTGATAGAACAACAAGCTTCCATACAATCATTCAGGTCAAACAATCTCATGCAGGTAATCACGATATACACTACAGCTAATCATATCACAATATCGAACAAGTTAAATACTCTGTGTATAAATAAGAGTGTCAAAATATCGGTATCATTATAATATGTGACAAACACAGGTAGCATTATATTATAATAAAATCTTTTAAAATATCTATTATTATAATAACTCAAAATAATCCTTTTAATTCTAAACTAATCATTAAAAATCATTAATTTATTATTTTAAAATAATCCTTTACAAAAATAAAATCCTTAAATTATTTCTCATAATAATTATTCAAAAATAATCTTTTTCCAAATCAATTCTTTTAAACATTTTGGTTTCTTATTATATCAATAACTAATCTTTTAAAATCATAAACTTAATTACTTAAAATAAATCTTTTTACAAACTAATTTCTTTTAAGATTATAATATATCTAAAATAATTCTTTTCTCAAAATAATTTCTTTTAAAATATTATGAACTCACATAAAATTTATAATATATCTAAAATAATTCTTTTCTCAAAATAATTTCTTTTAAAATATTATGAACTCACATAAAATAATTTTGTTATCAAAATAAATTTTTTTAAATTAATATAATTATCCAAAAATGGTTTTGCTACCGAAATAAATTCTTTTAAATTTATAATAATTATTCTAAAAAAATACTATTTATCACACAACTATGATTTAAATCAATATTATTCAGCAAACAACCCACGCAGATAAATACGACACAATTAAACTATGCAAATAATTTATAAAAAAATGTAAATAATTAAACTACGAAACAGAAGAGCGGGATCTTGCATATAAATAATCTACGTCAAATATAAGAATAGGAACGAAACTAAATGAGGATCGGGATCTTGCACATAAATAGTCTACGACAAATATAAGAATTGGAATGAAACTAAACGAGGATCGGGATCTTGCATATACTTAATTAACAGTATATCAAAATAATAAAGACGAGACAAAGGAAGCGGGATCTTGCCTGCGAGACCATGAGGTCTGATGACGAGGCGACGACGTCGATGCGGACGCGGTACGACGGATCTCAAGCGACGTCTATGGTGGGTGTGGACTGCGTCGGTACATCGTCGAACAGGTGGCATGCGACGAAGGAGAGACGTTGGTGGTTGCGGTTGGTGGTCGTTGGCAGCAAACTTGGGCGTCGGGGCTCGCGGTTGAGCGACGAGGGGAGGAGACTCAAGAGGGGCAGCGGCGTGGGCGTTTGGAGGTGGGTCAGGGCAGCGGCTCGGCGATCGACGAGCGGAGGAGAGGAGCTCAGGGCAAGGGCAGCGAGGGGCCGTTTGGGCGGTGGTCGAAGGATCTCGGCGAGGCGGCGATGGAGTTCGAGCAATGACGAGGAGCTCACGGCGGCGGATTTCCAGAGCTGTCGGACGCTGGAGCTTGACGGCGAGCGGTCGGCGGGGTTTCGGACGGTCTGCACAGGAAAGACGCTGGCGGCGGTGTAGCCTGAGGAAGCTCGAGCGCGGGTTGGGCGGTCGTGGAGGCGCTGGAGGTGAAGAACGAAGAGAGGGAGTCGGGGTTTCAGAGGGAGGTGGCGGCGGTCAGCTCAGGGGTCGACGTCGGAGTTGGAGCGGTGGTCTGAGTCGTCGGAGGGAACTGAGCTCGAGCTCGAGCTCGAGGGCGGAGCGGAGATCGTCGTCGGAGCTCACGGCGGCTGACGTCGGCTCGCTGGCGTGGAGGGCGGCTACGTCGGTGGAGACGAGAGGAGGAGGAGAGGAGTTGGGGTGGCGAGGTTTGCTGACGGGGGTTGGGTTCGTTTGAAGAGAGAAGGAGAGAACGAAGGAGAGAGAGATGAAGTGAGATGGAGAGAGAGTGTGAGAGAGAATGAGCTGGAGAGTTGTACGTGGGTTTCTTGGGTTTTAAAAGAGGAGAGAGAGTGAAGAAAATATAATAAAGAAGTGAGTGATTGAGTGATTGGTTGAGTGTGAGAGATTTTGTTGGATTAGAGAGAGAGTGTCAGAGAGAGAGAGTTTGATTGAGTGTGGGATTGGAGAGAGAGAAGAACGGCGGAGAATTTAATGAGAGATTGTGCGGGATAGGGTGGTTGGGAGGACGCGGGTTGAGAGCTGGGGGAAAACACGAGGTGGAGGGGTACACAGAGTGAACACCGGTGAGAGGAAAAACACGGGGAAAAATACCCCTTAAAAAAATATCATAAAATTTATTCCAAATAAATATTAAAATTTATGGTCAAAATAATAACAATAACAAGGATGAATAATTAACTATTTATTTAAAATTTTTACCAAAACAATTAAATTTATAATTAGCAAAACTTATTAAAATAACATAATATCGTATTTTTAAATCGTAGAAAATTCTAGAGAAATTGTGAAAAATACAAATACTCTTTTAGAAAAAATAATATTTAATATTTAAATACCAGAAAATTATTTAAACCCGTATTAGAAATTTACGGTCATTACAGTGATGATGGTGGTGGCGGGAAAGGTATCGATGTTGATAAGGATTGCAACTAGTGTTTGAGGATAAAAACACTTTTAAAAACCACAATGGTGTTTTCAAAACACTTTAGGAGAAAAAACACAACACCAATGTGTTTTTTTAGAAAAACACAACAACAAAAACACCTTAGAAGCTAAACAAAGCCTTAGTCAATGGATAATAATAACTAACTAAAAGAGGAAATTGTAGTTTTTGTTAGGACCTCTTCCTTGGCTCAAGATGCAGAATTGAACTTGAGTCCTCCTTTATCTAGTAGAGTGGTTATCATACTTTATCATGCTAGTTGTATTGGAGCAAGTGAAGCTCATCATTTTGTATTTCCATACCCAATTTAACTAAATAAAGATGATGCTCATATCTTTTTTTCCTATCATCTTGTTGTCTAGCTTGTTTGTGCACAATAGAACAAAGTTATGATTCTATACATCAAGTCATCAAGACACCTTGACGTTGTTTTAACGTTTGAGTAACCTATCGGAACACATATTTCTTTTCCCTTTCTGCTATGCTGCTTGATGTTAATTATATGAGTTAATTCATCAAACACTTGTTGCTATGGACTGTGAAAATAGAACTAAAACCATTTTATTTGATATTTGATAAGTTAGCCTGTATGCTTATTTCCCCCTCTGTTTATTCGTCTCATGCGTCTCGTGAAATTTAATTATACCCATAATTGGTCCTCTTCTTGCCAACTAATCCATCCGTACAATAAAACATAAACGATCAAGATCAACGTACCCGCCAGAAAAATAAAACTCATAAAATCAACGCGTAACATCAACGCGGACCAACCGAAGATACAAACAAACTCACCCATTCTCTCATCTCTCGACAGCTTCCTTCGCTACAAAGGAAAACCCCCCTCCCATTTAAACTCGTCGCCGCTTCACTCAGTCCAGCGATCAAACACTTGGTCTGCACGATTCTACACCAAAATTAAAATAAAATGGAGCAGGCTCTGCTCTCAGATCAAAAGCAAGAAGAGAGCTTGAGGTACTATCAGTACGTTGGTAGAACCGCCTCCTTCAACGCCCCGTCGGCGATTGGAGACGAGGTCAGCGTTGACGAGATCCGATCCGCTTCCGTCTTCTCTGATCCCAACTATTACCCGCCTTCGATTCATTCTGCTCTCGTCGCTTCGCCTGAATCCGATCCATCTCAAGGTTAGGGTTTCAGCTTTTTGTCCGCTGGGACCTTGGGGAGATTTCTTTTTAGTTGGGGATTTTCTTTTTTGTGGTACGATTATTTTGATTATTTTGTTGGTCAAGCTCTTGTTTTTCAAGGAGGATATGGGGAAGGTTTTCAACAAGGATACACTTCAAATCAATTCGGGAGGTGAGAATTGTTACTGTGCACTTCTCAATTTCTTTTTCTTTCAAGTAAAGAGAGCTAATTTCTAACACAATTTTACATGAGGATTTAATTGACCCCTTTAAAGAAAATTTAGGGTAGCGTCCCATTCTTGAAAGAAAACGAGGGTAGCCTTGATAAGGGAAATAGCCGCCAATACTGTGAATAAACTACAAAGTTGGAGTTTTGAGTTATAAAGATAACCAATGGCTTATGCGGTAGCTAAGCTAACAGAAGTCAGAGGATTTCCTGATTTTTGTATAACGTCACCGTGTGGCTATTCTATACCTCTTCATAATGTATGCATCAGTTACATGTGTCTTTTTAATAGATTTTTTTTTTAATTTATGAAGCATATATCTTCTCTATCATTTGAGCAGTTTGGTCATTGATATTACATGTAAATAAATCACTCAGGCTAATATTGGATGAGGTGGAAATCCGGCAGCTACTTATTGATCATGTTGGTCATCGCTGTTGTTGGGCGAGCCAACCAGCTAGGAGGTGGAAAATATCTGCCATTGAAGATTGCAATGTATATGTTGGAACTTTAGAAACTTTCATAGAGGAGAGAGAAACTGTTAGGGAAACTGAGCCGTATGCTGGTGGGGAAATTGATGGAAAAGGTACGGGGCTGGAACTGGGATTGTGGGAACTGGACTTGAGGTCGGAATTTCCTCTTCTCTTTGTACCACACAAAGAATTGAGGGCAAAAATTCCTCATTCGGAAGCTAAGGAGAAATGCTCAGGTATGAATTTGCTAGCTTATGCTTTGAAACCCAGTCGATAGAGTTTTGCTAGCAAGTGTGGTTAGTTATGTTCTATGTTTTGTCCATTACATCGTGATATTATTGTAACTTGTTTAAATTACTGTTATTGCAAGATTGTAAGAAAATTTAGAACTGTCTTAAAACTTTTTATTTTTATTGTTTTTGGATTCAGAGAGTTTTATTCTTGGCAATCATATTGACATAGATACTGTCTTTAGCATATTGACCATTTCTTTTATTTTCGTCCTTGTTGGCTCCACTGGGGAACTATCCTTGCTTTACAAAGAGTTCAGTACTTGGTTTTAATAATCTGCTTTATTTTCTTGTTCTATGAAAACCACAAGGGAAGATAGTGGAACTGGAAGCTTTATTTCTCTAGTAGGCATCTGTGATGACTTCGTTTTAGTTATCCTTGCACTACGATTTTCTATGAAGATACTATTGGGGAAGATATAGTCTGAGATGCCTGAATATACATGCGGTCATATATATATATACCAAGATATTGTCATGTAAGACGCGCGCGCTCTCACAAACACATGCACAGTAAGAATTTTTCCCCCTTTTTTATTTTGTTTTTGTTTTTTATTTATGTTTTTGTTTTTTGTTTTTATTTGGGGCAGCAGGAGCAAAGAGGGCCGTGGAATGGACAGGGTACAGTGGAGGAGTGGGAAGGGGTTGTTAGGGTTGGGTAATGAAAGGAGATATGAAAGGGAGAGAGTCGGGTCAGAGGCAAAGTTGTGTCTGGTGTAGAAAGGGGATGTGGGAATTATGTAGAGAGGGGCAGTTGGTTTCTTTTAAGGAGAAGGGTATTTTTGGATATTTTTTTTGCCTCTGTAATACCATATACATAAACACTGAAATACTATATGTGGGTTAAAATTATTGGAAATGGGTCTTTTGGGGTGTATGCATGATTTTAGAATGGGTGGATTCAAAAAATAAATCGTAGCAAAAGAATGGGTTTAAAATTAAAAAAAAAGATCCCTCACAACAAAGAACGTAAGGAGAAGAGGGATAGACATAAGAAACTGAGAGCCAGTACAATCGCTTGCTTGGTGTGTAAAAAGTGCTCATTTTCCCTTGATGCTCCAGCCTTGTAACATAGACATCAAGCTTGAGATTGGTAATTAACCCTTCTCCTAAGACTATACTAAGCATGCCTCCGATTGGATATTAACTTACATGTCTGCTAAGTGTCATTAATTTAAATGGAGGAGGATATGCTCTTTCATTCAGTATCAAACCAGTGCTATTTTGTCTCATGGTGTCGTTCTATAGTAGTTTTCACACTTCTCCTGGTCAGTACATCTGCAATAAGAATCTTGGAATTTGTCCTGAAACAAATATAGATAGTATGCTCCCAAATTTCCAATTCATCAATTTGATGCCGTAAATGAAAGAAGGATATCATCAGAGGAGAAATACACAGAACATCACTCTTACTATATAACTTCCACTGGCCAGCCTTCAGCCAGCACCCTTTCCAACTCCACTATCAGATAAAAAAAGAGAGAAGATACCCACTCTAGGCCTGACAGAGTGGCAGATATGGATCTCTAGCTTGAATCTGCAGTTAAGCTAATGCTTCTGAAGCTTCAAACATTTTTTAATTCTTCATGGCTTCATCCATAGTTTTATAGAGTGGTAGGGTTACGTTTATTGATAATTTTATTTTTAAAATATTTTCATCACTTTACCAATTTCCCCCAAGATTTCAATACATGAGAAGAGCTGGTTAACTACCTTTGGTTGCTCCTAAAATGTTGATTTAATACATGAGCTGGATACTTTCTCGTTGATTGGAAATAAACTGTATCTTCTTTGCTCCCAGTTTAATGCACTCTGGATTGTAATGTTTTAATTGGCAATCAATGTCTCCATCTCTCTCTTAGGTCTCTAACTTGCAGCCAAGTCCACTAGTTACACCATTCTTTAATCTTGTAGTGTTGATGGGAAGACTGTACTTGCATAAGGCATGTTTCTCCCTCATAAGGCCTGTTTCTCCCTCTCATAAGGCATGTTTCTCCCTCACACACATCTGTACTTGCATCCTTTTTTTTTTCTTTCCAATCCTTCTGAATTTTAGCATATTTTTATTACCTAACTTACCTTAATATTTAGCTGCCTAGTTTAATGACGGTTCTTTTTTCATTTTTCAATCTTAATTTTCTGCATCTTCTGTTAGTAACTTAGTAATTGCTTGAATATAATTTATAAATATATGACAGGGTGTCAAGGTCGAGGAGAGATTCCCTGTCCTACTTGTAATGTCAGTCTAGAACCTGGGTTTTACAAGGAGAATCAGATGAGTCAATGTCATGTATGTTATGGGAGAGGACTGATAGCTCATCGAGATGGATCTGATACAATGTAAAGGAGCAATACCATTTCATCACTTTTCTTTTGCATATAATTGTGAACTGGTAAGAAATTCATACTTATATATGTGGTACTGATGTTTTGCAGATGCAATAAATGCAATGGTAATGGGAAGCTACCATGTGTGATGTGTGCCTCACGTCGATTAATTAAATGCCAGACATGCAATGGACAAGGTTCTTTACTCACTCGAAACATTGCTCTTGTTAGATGGTAAGCAGAGTTTATACACTGTGATCCTTGCACCATTGGGTGCTGAAAATACTTAAATCTATCAGCTAAATGATGAACAAATTGATAATATTAGTAAAAACTGGAGCATCTGTACTTTGAATATTCTGTCGTTTTCAATTAGTTGGGTTGGTAGACAGCATGCACTATGATATGAGAATGCCAGGGGGCCAACCTTGGTCTACTCGTGCATCCTGCGCTTTTTTGAGTGTACAATTTAGCTTCAAAAATATCGTAAGATGAACTTTTGTTTGTCATGTTGAAGACTTGTATACATATGCCTAAACAATATTGTGGGCAACATTAAATTAGCTTTCTTATGTTATTTCAGCTATGATCACATTAATGATTCTTCTATAGAACTAGAATACCTTTGTTTAGTTGCTTTGGAGATTCTTCACTTAGCATTGCAGGTTTGCAGCCTGTGAGACATAATGAAGTTTGATATAAGTTAGTAAGGCACAAATTTCCGACATCATCTTGATTATGAAATAGTTGCTCAAAATTTCCCAGAACCAATACTTTCAGCCTATCCATAAAATTCCGCAGAAACAAGTTGACACCATTATCATCAAATGATGTTTATTAGGAACAAAATTAATCTTGAAACCTTAATTCTTTGTCTAGGAGGACGCTCTCAAACCGCAAGGTTAGTGCCACCACTGGAGCTGCATCGGTTCCCGATGAGGTATTCCACAAAGCCAGAGGCGTCCAGCTCTACAACACGCAAGCATATCAATGCAATCCTGCATATTTTGCTGATTCATATTTGCTCAACCGCTTCTCATCTGAAGTCATCGCTGACCGAACTCCCATTCCCCCTGCCTCGAGAGTCATCTGTGAGCGTCACACAATCTCAGTTGTGCCTGTAACACGTGTCACCATGGCTCATCGCAATAAAGCCTTCAGTTTCTATATCATTGGAGTTAATAGAGAGGTATATATAAGGGATTATCCTTCCAAGTTCTGTTGGGGCCTCTGCTGCTGTTTGGAGTGGTTGAAAGTATAACATTCCACCTTCAAATTTTTAAATTGCTGCTATTTGTATGTAATTTTGTTATGATTTATATGCTTGTGTACAATTGTTTCTGTATTTTCATCGTCAGTGTATAAGAAGTTTATATATGCAATGCGTGAGTGCATAATTTTGGTTATACTTTTACCGCAAGTTTATTTATGAACCGATTGACTGCATAATTTTGGTTATAAAATTTTCTCGAGTGAAACGTTGATTTTGGTCGTTATCATCTTATGGGTAATGATTAGGATGTTTTCGCCCACTGTTGCTGATTAGAGTGGTTGAATAAACTTCATACCAAGGATTAATAGTACATTCTAGTACCTGCTGAGGTATTGTGTAATTGCACGGGTAATTCTAAAGTCTGCGCATCTAAATGAATAATCTTAAGATTGCAAATTATAACTTATAAAAAAATTCGGGCTAGTGTTTGCGTACCTGGTCCTCAAAGGTTAAGTTTCTACGGGCATGGCCCGTGATTATTTTGAAATAAATCTATTTTCCGATTTCTAACAGGAATAGTAAAACTAGTCATAATAATAATGAAAATATATAATAATAATAAATACGCTACCGCTGAAACTAAAACTCTAAGGCCCCGTTTGGTACGCGGGAATAGGGTGGAATGGAATGCCATTCTCACTTCTCATTCCTTCATACCAAACAAAACTAGTTTTTAGATGTTGGAATGACCATTCCAATGGAATGGCCATTCCCACTTTTTGTGGGAATGAGCATTCCAAGTGAGAAGATGCTGAAACTAAAACTCTAAGGCCCCGTTTGGTACGCGGGAATAGGGTGGAATGGAATGCCATTCTCACTTCTCATTCCTTCATACCAAACAAAACTAGTTTTTAGATGTTGGAATGACCATTCCAATGGAATGGCCATTCCCACTTTTTGTGGGAATGAGCATTCCAAGTGAGAAGATAGGGAATGATCATTCCCATTCAATGGGAGAATCAAATTAGTTAGGTTTTTTTTAATTATACCCCTATTAATAATAAGAATCAATTTAAAAATCATGGCTTTTGACTACATATTCTCATTTTCTCTCTGTTTTTTAGGCTCCACCGAAACAAAATGATCTTCAATTCTTCAATTCTTGAGTACGTATTCCTACAAAATAATCTTGAGTCATTCTCTTGCTTCAATTCTTCAATTCAATGGTAATGTTCGTTTTCTTAATTAATTTCAGTACATACATAATAAGGCTTGATGATAGAAAATCTGTACTGTACAAATGAGTTAATTTATAAGGTACTATAGAAAATATGTTAGGTACTTTATCAAATGAGTTAATTTATATATCTAGAACCGTGGATTGTGGATATCATTCTTTATATTTTTTGGACCTATAAAAGATGCGATAATCTTTTATTTATTTTTATTTAATTTTTTAAGACTAAGAAATAGTGAGAATTGTTTAAAAACTATAAACGAAACATACACCTGATCGATAACATGCGTATTAGTATAACACATACCTAGAATAATATAACATATGCATAAATAAATTTTTTTTAGTTATTATCATTAATGTTTGTTTTTATCTTATTAAAAATCTATGTTGTTATAAGGGCATTATTTTTTTTAGTTATTATCATTAATGTTTGTTTTTATCTTATTAAAAATCTATGTTGTTATAAGGGCATTATTAGAAAATGAGATTCCATTCTCACTTGTGAACTAGTGATACCAAACATGGGAATGAGAATTAGATTTTCATTCTACCTTTATTCTACAAACGCATCCAAACAAGAGAATGGGAATGACCATTCCATTCTCAGATACATTTTATTTCATTCCTTCTTCCATTCCATTCTCACTTGGCTTCATTCCCACGTACCAAACGAGGAGTAAGGCTAAGCTGGGCAGAAGTCGGAGTGGACAAAGGATTCTGGTTCTATATATACAAATAAAACGACAAAGATAACATAATCATCAAAATAATAATACGCTCCTACTGTAACTCTATAGGATTAGAAATTACTGCGTGTGCGCATACGTGCTAGCTGCGTCTCTGCTCGAAGAAAATCCAGCAATGGCTTCGGTTAGAGTCCAGATGGAGAGCCCGAGACCAGCCATCTGCTAGTCTAAAGTGTAGACTCAAAGTCGAAGCCGAAGCTGGAATCAAGAAGACGAAGAAAAAATTGAAAAAACAAAAGGAATGTGCATAGTGTTGACCCTATAGTTTTGATGATGATTTAGCAAACAATTTATTACTAATAAGTTTTCTAGTGTTTTGTGTTTATGTTCTCTTTTCAGGTATTTCAACACACGTCAATCTAGTGTTAAAGATTCAAGTTCATTTGCGTGGATTTACCTAGGTATATGTTTAGTACGCTTACATATATTGTATGATTATATCTAAACTCAATATATGTACACGTAACACAATTTTTAAAGTTTTTCTATCATATAAATGATTTCTCATCAAACGTTGTTACAATAACTTTTCTCTCATGTTTACAGCTCTTTAATATTTCATTGTATATATATAATATATGCATAATATATATAAACATATTTACAAGTTCTATATCAACTTTCACTTTCATATAAAAACAGGTTTTCTAAGCATTTTTCAAAAACAGGTAGCTTTCACAAACGAAAATTGATTTTCCAAAAATTCTTTTTTAAACATGTTTATTTTATCATTTAGAAACTTTCCCCAAAGTTTCATTATTTTTGGACTTAATTTGATTTTTTTTTTGAATTTTCAAACTAGCCCCAAAACCTAGAAATTTACATATATCAGGTTTCGGTCGACCGGTACGGTCGACCGACAGTTGTTCTTTATCTGAGCAAATTTCCAGAGAGCCTTCCGGTCGACCAAAAATTTCGTCGGTCGACCGCCAGCTTTAAAACTCCGTTCTCTGGGTTTTTGAACTAAGCGGTCGACCGGACCGGTCGACCGCCGAGTTGTCAGAATGAGCCTAACGGCTAGTTTTTCAAATGGGCCTTTTTGGTCTTTTACCTCTTTTTAGCTGTTGTTTTGGGGTGTTATATATACCCCATTGCTGCTCTTCCTCTACATAACTAAGAAATCCAAGTTTGTTGTTTAACAAGATATTAATCGTGTTTAAGAGCTGTTTAAGAGTTGTTTCATTAATCAGTTTTCAAGAGAAGTTTTTCTACAACAAGAGGAGGCTTTCAAATTCTATTGAGATCATCATTTCTTCAGCTCCTCTTGTTCATTGAGAAGTTTTTCTAAACTCTTTCCATATAGCTTAGCTCTTTGATTTAAGGTCTAATCGCCTTGAGTTAAAGATCCAAGTTATCGTAGTTGTGCTAATCTAATTTTGATTATATTTTGCTTCTTGCATTTTATCTTTATGGATATGTATGATTCATCTAGTTTAGGATATGCTATTAATATTGCTCCTCGTTTGGATATTTTTCCCTATGCTCAATGGCGTATTAGATTCAAACTTTTCGTTCAATCTAATCAATTTGATTTATGGGAAATTATTGAGGATGCCTATGTTGTTCCCATTTTGGAAAAATCCAAATTGTGTGAGAATGATAAAAGATTGTTTAACATGAATAAGCTTTTGTTAGAATATTTGATTAGCGCTTTTCACTCATCGTTTTCTAACAAATTTGCTAATTTTGATAGTGCTCACGCTTTATGGAAATTTATTGAAGCACATGAAGGGAAATTGGAGGCTATTCAACAAGCGTTGGAAAATCCCGCTTTGAGTTCTAAAGAAATCTCATCTCCATGTACAATTCCACTAGGTGATAACCCTAGTGAGGTATGCGATAACGATGATATTATTACTTTTGATGAACTTGCTCTTGAGTTTGAAAAATTACACAATTGCTATATTGATGTAAAGAGCAAGTATGTTAATTTGAAATCCATTCATGAAACACTAGCTACTAAGTTTAATTTTATTGCAAATGAAAATATAATTCTTAAAGAATGCAATGAAAATTTGAAAATTGAAAATGCTAGTTTGCTTCATGAAAAACGTGATGTTATGTTAGAAGTAGATAAGTTGAAATCTATGATGAGTAATCTTGTTTATCCTACTTCTAGTAGCAATGCTTGTATGCACAATGATGAGTTGAATCAAATGAGAAAAAGAATATCTACCTTAGATTCAACACTAAACACTTGTATTGCTAATAATAAAAAGCTTATGGACTTATGTGCAAAGTTCAATGTTAATTCTTCTAAGAAACCTATTCACTATGCACATATGTATGACAAAATTCACAAATGTTCTATTTGCGGTCTTAAAGGCCATTTAGCTCAATTTTGTCATAATGCACCAAAAATTGACAAGCCTACACATGATTGTGCATCCCATCAAGCTTCTTCATCACATACACATGCACACACACATAGTGTAAATCATAAACATGCTCAAGTGTATAAATGTGATTATTATGGTCGTTTTGGTCATTTGGCCATGTTTTGTTTCGATTTGAAAAGAAATTTTCGTTTGTAAAATAATTACAAAGGAAAATCTATTTTTGCAAATGAACAACGTGCATTCCATTTCGGTCAACGTAAACCATTCAAACCTCTACATTGCACAAATTGCAATCGTATGGGTCACGTTTATAATTTTTGCTTTGATCGTATCGGTGCACAAAATACGCCCAAACGGGTTCATAACCCTAGGGCCTTGGATTTAAATGCTAGGGGTCATGTCCCAAGTTCTAGTGGTACCAAAATGATTTGGGTACCAAAAAGACTTGTATAGTATTTCTTTTGTTTTTGATGGTTTGTTTTGTTTTTATTTTGAATAATTTTTTTTGGCTTCGAATGATAAATCATATTCTTTACGCTAAAATAAATTATTTGTATGTTTCTATATTTAAAAACCCTTATATATATCCTATAAAACTTTTAGTATTTTATAAAACATATTTTCAAAAGGTCTAAATTGAAAAATCTGTCAAAACAAATTTTTCTCTTTAACCTGCTATCTGTTTTCTCGCGGTCGACCGACGATCTCTCTGTAATCATTCCGGTCGACCGCGTCGGTCGACCGAAATAAAATTTCTGCAGCAGCTTCGCTTTTCTTATCGGGTTTTGGGTTTTAAGATGATAACTGTTTCAAACCCGAACTGCTCATCACCATTAATCTATTTCTTGGATCAATCTCAGTCGTTCCT